AACATCCATACATTGAAGTGTCTGAAGTAGTTAGTATTTACTAAGTCTACATCCTGAATTTTGATGTTAAATTCAGTGTGTGTGTTATCACTGTTCCCATTCCTATTCAAGATCGTCGTTCTTGTTTTGGAAAGACTTATCTTTAGTGTTATTTTTTGGAACACTTGGTAGAGGCTGTTGAATTTCTGTTCAAGATCATTCTTATCACAAGTATGGAATACCTATGTCATCATAATAGTCCTCTTCATCAACATTAGTACATCATTTTTTATACCGTAGCACCAGTCCAACAGCTTCGAAGGAGGATGGACCGCCTTGAGATATACGCGCTTCACTCTCTCTCGAAGATTTTAACCCTTGATCATAGCGGTTGTATACAATTGCTAGTTTAGATATTTCTGAACGGGTTTGGAGCCATGCATGACATCCAGATAAAAATCTCAGTCCGACGAGGCTATTTCAGTACATGACTCGAATTTTCAAGTTGATGTTTGGGATTTGTAGCAATTTGCGTTGTTGGGCGACATTACTTCAGGCAAAACTTATTCTATGTTCAATTTCTTTTTCTTTTATATTTAGTTTGTTATAAATGGTCAATACACCGAGGTATCTAAAGTGTTTAGTATTTACTGTTTTCACATCCAGAATAGTTATGATAGATTCTGGTTAGGTGCCATCACTGCTTTCATTGCAATTCCAGGATCTTAGTTTCTGTTTTATAGAGGTTTTAAACATATCACTAGAAGCAAAGAAATGTACTGAATTGTTGCTTTCTCTCTCTCTCTCTCTCTCTCTCTCTCTCTCTCTCTCTCTCTCTCTATCTATCTATATATATATATATATATATATATATTGGGCTTTTTCAAGTCTCTCTTTCTCTCTCTCTTTCTCTCTATCCATATATATATATATATATATATATATTGGGCTTTTTTCAAGTCTCTTTCTCTCTCTCTCTCCTCTCTCTCTCTCTCTCTCTCTCTATATATATATATATATATATATATATATATATATATGAAAAAAAATATATACCGAAAAAACAAACAAAAATCCTTATATACAATTATGCTATTTTAATGTTAATATGTCAACGTCGGACGTTTCGGTCTAATAAACCATCTTCAGGACATATTCATAAATTATAACATTATCAATATGTCCTGAAGATGGTTTATTAGACCGAAACGTCCGACGTTGACATATTAACATTAAAACAGCATAATTGTATATAAGGATTTTTGTTTGTTTCTTCCGTATATATTTTTTCTTCATACTGTCGGATCTATATCCATATATTTGCTTATATATATATATATATATATATATATATATATATATATATATATTGATACATGTTTCATTAAATAATATAGACAAGTTTTGTCTCTTTATTTTATGTAAATTCTTTTCATATCGTCTGATAGGCTTAATAACATTATCATTAAACGAAGAAAGAAAATCATAATATTGATACATATTTTTTTAATCCTATCTAAGCTTTCGGCTTACATAAGCCATTATCAAAGATGACGATTACATTGCAATACATTAATCAATACACGGAAAAAACAATAATGATAGTCTGTCTATGTTTACATGGAAATTTTCCAAGCAACGACAAATTCGTGCATACAAGACGCTGGAAGCGAAAATCGCATCGCAGCTCGTGACGTCACACATGACCACGCGAGAGTGAAAAACGAGAAGTATTAAGTATGGGAAGCCGTTGGTATAAACCAATGGCTTCTGTTTTAAATTATAGGCATTTAAGAATATTTGTGGAGATTTCAACTGTTTTATGCATATAATTTCAAGAATTTTTATTTTTTTGTTTATTGTTTTCATGTTTAAGTATATATATATATATATATATATATATATATATATATATATATAGCTAGTGAGCCAGACAAACCTACCTAGGTTTCACCTAAACGGATCGTCAGGGAAAGTAAGGCCTTATAAATCTAATTAGACATTGTAGAAAAACATTGCTATTTCACGATAATACTTTATGGATAAAAAAAGAGAATATTAACGGTTTTGACAACCCTATGGGAGCGTTTGATGGGGCAGAGGTGTGCGAGATAGTAGGGTGCCTGCTGCTCCATAGGCTTAATGAATATATAGACTTTAATAACCATGGGTTGTACCGCGACGACGGTTTAATCATAGTGGACAATAGTAACCCTCAAAAGTGTGACACTATCCGTAAAAAACTGCACTGTTTTTTTAAAAAATTCGGATTCAATCTCGATATAGAAACTAATTTGAAAATTACCAACTATCTAGATATTACGTTGAATTTACAAAATGGCACAATATCCCCGTATAAAAAAGAAAACCAAGAACCCCAGTATTTACACATAAAATCTAACCACCCAGCCCATATCATAAGGCATATTCCTAAAAATATTGGGTATAGACTTTCTAGTAATTCCTCCAATAGGGACATTTTTGAGGCCAACAAAATAAGTTATGAGCAAGCCCTAATTAAGAGTGGACATAAAAATAAATTAGAATATATAGACAACCACAACATTACTCGGAATAAACATAATAGGCAAAGAAAAATTTTGTGGTTCAATCCTCCTTTCAATTTAGCGGTAAAAACTAAAATTGGTAAGATATTTTTTGATTTATTAGAGCAACATTTCCCAAAATAAACTGAGTTACATAAAATATTCAACAAAAACAATGTAAACTTAGTTATTGTTGCATGCCGAACGTAGGGACTATAATAAATGGATTGAATGAGAAAAAACTAGGAATAATCCACACAGTAATCCTCCTGCTTGTAATTGTAGAAACAAAAACATCTGTCCATTACAGGGAAAATGTCAGCAAGAATGCGTGGTTTATCAAGTGGAAATTTATAAAAATACTGAGGATACTAACCCTAAAACATACACAGGTGCCACTCAGGGTAAAATTAAAAAAAAGATATTATAACCACACGAGTAGTTTTAAAACGCAAAAATTAAACATAGTGCCACGCTATCTACTTATGTATGGAAAACCAAACAAGAAGATTATATAGACCCCATCCTTAAATGGGAAATATTAAAAAAATGCCCAAAATATAAAGCAGGCCATAAATTTTGTAAATTATGTGCAGAGGAGAAATTAGCCATAGATCAACCTAACCAGTTATTAAACTCTAAAACTGAAATCCTTAACGTATGTAGACATAAAAGAATCTTGGCTACTAGATTAAACGTTTTCCCGTTTATTGTCATTGCACCTTGATGTTTTTTGTTTTTTTTCCCTCTCAATTTTTGTTGAATAAATATTTACCCATTGTTTGTTGGCAGAAGTTCATGTTTGTAGCTCTTTCTTTTTTTAAAATCTTTTTTCTCTCGAGATTGATTTGATTAGCAAATCAAAAATTCGAGGGTTTTTCGAAACGAGTCTAGTTATCTATAATTATACGAATATATATATATATATATATATATATATATAGATAGATAGATAGATAGATAGATAGATAGATCTTTCATTAAAGACGACAGACAAGGTACTACTATTAAGCTTTTTTTTTTTTAATTTTCTTGTGTTCAAACAAATATTTTCCTTTTTTAACGCAGTGTGTGTCCAAATATTCTATAATTCCGAGCGCATTGTAACCGTGTTCGTAGTTAAAAGTAAGTGTTGGCTTTTTCTATTTATGAATTTTTATTAATTTTTATTCTTTGTATGTTTTTCTAGTTCGGAAAATAAAATACCACTATAAGTCTAAAAACATACACCCAACCCATACACCCAATTAAACCGAAGAAATAAAATCATCTTTGATAATGGCTAAAAGTATAGCCGAAATCGCTCTTAATTATAGAACATTCGGACAGTTTCTACATACTGGTAGCTAGGTCTCATTATTTTTGTTGCACCATACCAACGTACAATAATGGGTATATCACCATTCACATAAATTCAATAGTAAATACTGTATGTTAGTCGAAAGTAGGAGATACGTCTCCAGCTGTGCTCGTCAAACTCTCTGTCTCCGGGAAGAGAGGATCCCCGGACGAGGCTATGTCGAAGGGCAGAGTCTGATCTCGGGAAACAGCTCCCCGACCTCGTCTTATATGGGGTCTATGGGGAATTTTTGACCGATCCTACGGGCTCGGATACTCCACATTAAATTCGGCCTTGGGGCGGTTGGTAGATATCCTAGAGTTGGAGATTCGTCTTCAGCTGTGCTGTTCAACCACTCTGCCTCCGGGCATAGAGGATCCCCAGACGAAACTATGCCGAATGGCAGAGTCTCGTCTCGGGAAACTGCTGCCCAATCCCGTTTTATATGGGGTATCCGGGGTATTTTTGGCCGTGCCTACTGGCTCGGATACGCCATATTAAATTTGGTCTTGTGCCGCATTTGAGCGCGTGGGGTCGTTGGTAGATATTCTAGTGTTGGTGATTCATTGTGGAATTCACTTGACTCACTTCTAGAAGTTGACTCCTACTTCTACGCGTCGCTGGTGAAGCTTATGTGTTGTTCTTGTCCTATGCATTATCTTTCATTACCAACTTTCGTTTGATTATTCTATTCAGTAACCTTCAACAATTTTATTACTGAAATTATCGACATGGAAAACAAAAACAATCTCTTAGCATAAAGGAAGTTACTATTATCCAGAAAGAGGCTAACGCGGGGGTGTCTCTCTTTTTTTTAAATTTTGGATTTAATGTAACTATAATAAGAAATCATTTTGCTTTCATTGTTTACCTTCATAATGTCGGAATACAAAATGCGTCGGAAAAAAAAACTAAGGTTTTTTTGGTTTTTTTTTACCAATTTTCATTTTTATACTAATTTATTTTATCTATAGAATGATTCTGAGAAATTTAATTATAATGAAGAATGTAACGTCCTAATGTATTGGGATAAAATGCAACAAAGAAATATGGAGTAGAATAGTAATGCATTAAGATGAATAAAAATCGATTTTGCTAACAAGCCACTATCTGAATGAAATAATGTCCTGTATTCTATGCCGGTGACCTCAACGGTAAAGGAAAGACTGATATTCGGATGTCAGTGAAATATCCTCGAGTTATGCATGAAAGATAACGAAATGCAGAATTGATAAAAGATATTTATATATATATATATATATATATATATATATATATATATATGTGTGTATGTGTGTGTGTGTGTGTGTGTGCAGTGAGTTGGAGAGATAAAATGTCCATTTCGTATCTGAATATATATAAGATTTTCACGCAGACACACAGGGTATATCAAAAATACTTTTACAAACTTTGAGTTCGCGTTTCTTATTTTTTTTTATTTTTAAGCATTTCACCCCAAGCAAGGTGGGAAGCCACTAGGACGCAAGGGGTTACAGAAAATTTAGAGCAAGATCAGATAGGAGTGATAGAAGAAAGGATGAGGATAGTGGATAGATCAAGGCAACTGGAGATGTCAATTGACATTACACTTGAATAGCTGGAGATTATAGCTCTCAGGGAAACTAGAATAGGAAAGCGAGTTCCACAGGTGAGAGGTGTGAGACATGAAGCTATTTGAGTAGAAGAGACAGATACATTTAGGAGTTTTGACAGTAAAAGGGTAAGAGCGGGATGCCAGCCTCGTAGGTCGCTTGAACTCATGAAGTCTGGGAACCAGCGAATGCAGCTCCTCGGAGCAATTACCATGAAAGTATTTGTAGAACAGACAGAGAGAGAGGCGACGGTGCGTCTGTGAGAAAGTCACTGTAGACGAGATGCCAGAGCAGGGCCAATTATATTGCATATCCGCCTCTGGAGCCTATCAAGAACCCCGAAGCAAACAGAAGGGGCACCAGACTATATATGGCAGCAATACCTAAACAATTACCATAGTCCATAATGCAACCTAGGGAAGGTTACTGAATAGAATAATCACACGAAGGTTGGAAATGGACGATAATATGATTCTCCAACAGCGCGTGGAAGAAGTGAGTCAAGTGAATTCCACACTGAATCTCCAACTGAAGACCAACATGCAGTATTAACTACTGTATTTATGTGAATGGGTACATACACATTATCGTCCGAAGGTATGCTACAACAGATAGATACATACATACATACGTACATACATACATCGGTAGATAGATGGATGGATAGATAGATAGAGAAATCGATAGTGTTGCAACGTAGGGAAGGTTACTAAATAGAATAATCACACGAAGGTTGGCAATGAACGATAATACTTAGGACAAGAACAACACATATAAGATTCACCAGCGGAGTGTAGAAAAAAAGTCAGCTGCTAGAAGTGAGAAATATTAAAGCTTGTTTTTTTTTATATTATTACATACACACACACACATAAACATATATATATATATATATATATATATATATATATATATATATATATATATATATATATATCGAAGATGAGAGAGAGACTCTTAGTACAGAGGAAAATCTTTGAATCTTTCCTTACACGCGTTATCCCCATATAATTCACTGGTCACCAAGTTTTTGGCAATACATATATATATATATATATATATATATATATATATATATATATATATATATATATATTGTCATCCACAAAAAACTGTTTCGTTGTATCACAGTTCATGAATGTGGCTAGACGTCCGGTTGCCTCTAGCTAGGATCGAAACCCGACTGAATTGGGGTCAGTCAAGGATTCTTTCGTTCTTTCTTTCTTTCATTTCCTTTCTTTCTTTTTTGATTCCTTTCTTTTCCTTCTTTCTTCTTTTATTCCATTTTTCTTACTTCCTTCCTTCTTACTCTTTTCTTCCTGTTTTCTTTCTTTCTTTTTTGTTTCCTTTCTTTCTTTCTATCTTTTTTATTTCCATTCTTTCTTTTTTCTTTCCTTTTCTTTTCTTTTTTTTGTTTTTTTTTCCTTTTTTTGTTTTTTCTTCCATTTTTTTCTTCCTTCCTTCTTTCTTCTTTTTTGTTCCTGTTTTCTTTCTTTCTTTTTTCTTTCCTTTCGTTCTTTCTATCTTTTTTATTTCCATTCTTTCTTTTTTCTTTCCTTTCTTTCTGTCTTTCTTTCTTTCTTCTTTTTTTGTTTCCTTTCTTTCTTTCTTTCTTTCTTTCTTTCTTCTTTTTTTGTTTCCTTTCTTTCTTTCTTTTTTCTTTCCTTTCTTTCTTTTTTGTTACCGTTCTTTTCCTTCTTACTCTTTTCTTCCTGTTTTCTTTCTTTTTTCTTTCCTTTCTTTCTTTCTTTCATTTTTCTTTCCTTTCTTTCTTTCTTTTTTCTTTTCTTTCTTTTTTTCTTTTCCTTCCTTCTTTCTTTTATTTATTTTTTTTTCTTCCTTTCTTTTTTTTTCCTTCCTTTCTTTTTCTTTCTTCTTCTTTTCTTCCTTTTTCATTCTTCCTTCCTTCCTTACTTCCTTCCTTCCTTCCTTCTTTCTCTTTTCTTCCTGTTCTCTTTCTTTCTTTTTTCTTTCCTTTCTTTCTTTCTTTCTTTTTTCTTTCCTTTCTTTCTTTCTTTATTTTTTGTTTCCTTTCTTTCTTTTTTGTTTCCGTTCTTTTCCTTCTTTCTTCTTTTCTTCCATTTTTATTCTTTTTTCCTTCCTTTTTACTCTTTTTTCCTGTTTTCTTTCTTTCTTTTTTTTGTCTCCTTTCTTTCTTTCTTTCTTTTTTGTTTCCTTTCTTTCTTTCTTTCTTTTTTGCTTCCTTTCTTTTCCTTCTTTCTTTTATTTCTTCTATTTTTCTTTCTTTCCTTCTTACTCTTTTCTTCCTCTTTCTTTCTTTCTTTCTTTCTTTCTTATACCATTCCTATTGCCTCTCTTCCTATACGCATTCAAACGAACGTTTTACACATCAACTTACAAATCTTCTAAACAATCTCCCTATCATTTTATGCGATCTACTTGTCTTTTCCTTTCTACTTTTCGTTTCTTCATTCAGGAACCACACCTTTTTTTTCTTCTTTTTTTTTCCTCGAGCAACGTCAGACAAGAAGTCCATTCTCAGAATCTCTTGCGTAACAGATGATTTCATATTTATACACAGTCATACCCTTCAATTTTTTTTAAGATGAGCACAAAACAAAAGAAGAAAGAAAATTTCACGATGTCCCCAGTTATTTATTCATCGGTCCGTAAGGTTAACACATCCCAACTTCATGCAAAGTGAATTCATTGTTTCCACCTCCAAGTTATGAGCATCATGGCTGACCCCACTAAAATATGGAAAGTATTAATAAATACAAAGCGGTATTCTGTAGTTTAATAACAAGCCGTCATATATTGTTTGTAAGAAGAGAAAGAGGAAGATGAACTTCATCATGCATTCTAATTACAGTTGGAATGCCTAGAATGCTTGATTCATGAAATGTGATTGAACAAATGCAAAACATGTGTGGACTTAATAACATCAACGTACATTTTAGTAATCAGCATGCAAACGTCTTAACAATCTTATTCTCTACAAAGACAACAGTTTGACAAAAAAATTGCATCTACAGAATACTGAGGTGTTCTAACTACATTCGGCAGCAAAGAAGTCTGGGAACCAGCGAATGCAGCTCCTCGGGGCAATTACCATGAAAGTATTTGTAGAACAGACAGAGAGAGAGGCGACGGCGCCTCTGTGAGAAAGTGACTGTAGACGAGATGCCAGAGCAGGGCCAATTATATTGCATATCCGCCTCTGGAGCCTATCAAGAACCCCGAAGCAAACAGAAGGGGCACCAGACTATATATGGCAGCAATACCTAAACAATTACCATAGTCCATAATGCAACCTAGGGAAGGTTACTGAATAGAATAATCACACGAAGGTTGGAAATGGACGATAATATGATTCGCCAACAGCGCGTGGAAGAAGTGAGTCAAGTGAATTCCACACTGAATCTCCAACTGAAGACCAACATACAGTATTAACTACTGTATTTATGTGAATGGGTACATACACATTATCGTCCGTAGGTATTCTACAACAGATAGATACATACATATATACGTACATACATACATCGGTATATAGATCAGGAGGAAGAGCGTGGAACCACATATTAATTGCTGTTGTTCCCAGATCCACCCAGACTGGGATCGTATCACCTGCTAGAGTCCCAGCTATGAGTCAATACACAATGAAAATGTAAGAATCGGTTATTATAGTATAAGTGCTATCAACATATTTTTGGAAAATAATATTACCAACAATATATTTTTCAAAAATTCAAGAGTCACCATCCTGGGTATGACAAAAAATACATCCGGCGACAAGGCCTCTGATCAGGAGATTTTAGGAGCATGGAACCACATCTTAATTGCTGTTGTTCCCAGGTCAACCCAGACTGGGTTCGTTCACAAGTAAATTAGATCAGCGCTCACTGCAAAGGAATCAGTGACCTACCGTTTTTTTTGCCATGGCGGCCCTCAAGTTTGCTGACCCTCCCCAGAGGGAATACAATATTACAATGCACATTAACCGTTTGAAGTTTATATATATATATATATATATATATATATATATATGTATGTGTGTGTGTGTGTGCGTGTGCGTGTGTGTGTGTGTGTGTGTTAGTCAACGACAAACTTTATTGGTACACCCATCAATTTTTAATATTTTTTTTCCATTTTTCAGAATCTAGTGCTAGTATGATGCCAGGATTTTTATATATTAAGAACACAAAAAGGAATATATATTTATTATGTATTTGATACATAATTGTGGCACAAGGCCAAAGGGAGGGTTAGGCTGATCATGAGTATCTATCGTTGTCCTTGTTGTTTACAATTGCTCACTGATAAATTATGAAATAAAAGTACATTACTCCACTGATGCATCATGAGTGACCCTTGTGTTCTGACTACCTCCAGCAGTAAGAAGCATGGGACCACCTTTAAAAATGCTGTTGTGCTCAGGTCCAGCCAGGTTTGGGAGGTAGCACCAGCTAGAGTCCCAGCTATGAGACAATAGAGTATGAAAATGGAAGAATCGGTTATTACATTTTTGGAAAAAAATATTACCAGCAATAAAAATCTTGTCGCCATTCAATAACCCATTGAGGTTGATAAGCCGTAAAACAAAGCAAATCAAACCAAACTACAATGTTGTGCATATTAATAAAAGCAACTGACTTTCAACAAACGAAGGTGGAATTTAGCAGGTAATCTATCTATCTATCTATCTATCTATCTATCTATCTATCTATCGAATCTTTCTATCTCTCTATCTAATATATCTCTCAATCTCTATATCGAATGTATCTATCTCTTTATGTAATCTATCTATTTATCTATCTATCTAATCTATTTATCTCTCTAATTTATCTATCTAATCAAATCTATTTATCTATGTAATTTCTGTATCTTTCTACCTAATTTCCCTAATCTCTCAGCCTATCTAATCTCTCTCTCTCTCTCTCTCTCTCTCTCTCTCTATATATATATATATATATATATATATATATAAAAAATAATCTCTATCTAATCTCTCTATCTAATCTATCTCTCTAACCAATCTATCTATCTAATCTATCACTCTATCACTATATCTAATCTCTGTACCTTTCTACCTAATTTCTCTCTCTATCTAATCTGTCTATCTATCTAATCTATCTAATTTATCTAATCTCTCTATCTCTCTATCTAATCTCTTTATCTAATTTATCTATCTCTCCCTAATCTATCTATGTCTCCTACTCTCTATCTAATCTATCTATCTAATGTAATCTCTATAATCTATTAGATATTTCAATGCATGTTTATATTATAATATATATATATATATATATATGTATATATATATATATATATATGGTATATAAAAATAACTTTACAATCTTTGGGAGCAGGTTGCTCACACGAAAACAAAGACAAAATCTATATAAACGTATATATCCACATCTTCTTCGTTTTTATGCTATTATGTTTAAAGAAAGTTTACGTTATATACCACCTTGTTATCACGTAGACGAGATTACATTGGTCATTCTTGTACATTTGTGGCTAGTCTGTCTTCAACGTTTAACGTGTATAGTAGTGAACTAAGAATGTTCTGTTTACAAATGGCAAGATATGTATATCGTGTTTTTATCCATATATATATATATATATATATATGTGTGTGTGTGTGTGTGTGTGTGTGTGTGTGTGTGTTTTAAGCTAAATTTTTCTTCATATTTTATTATTTTTGGCTAAAATTGAAATTTTGACGAAAAATATGGCCACTCTCTGCCGACAAAACGAAAAGTGTACATCATATAGGATAGTTTTTATTTGACTACTGCTGCTGCATGTTGTTCAATGTGCTAAATTTAGCTGAGTGAAAATACCTTTTATTCTTTTAAGTGTTGTGACCCTTGTTGTGGAGGAAGTAGAAGATTCATGACTTTCCCAAGCTATTAGCACGTAAGTTAATGTAATGGATCCGACTGGAATTCGAACTCGGCTCTCCGATTCCTCAATCCGCTATTCATAACTCCACCATGCCTCCAGTTAATCAATATCGACCCTAATTTATCATCATAATATTCACTTACATTTATATTGGGTCTGGTGCTTCTGCAATAGATTTAGAGATTTTCGATAAATTCAAAGAAGAATCTGCAATATTATCTGTCCTAACCCGGCATCTCGTCTTCGGTAAATTTTCCCACCACCGTAATGTAATTTCCCTTAGGCTTTTCGATAAATTATTTCATGGAAATTGTTCGGATGAACCTTCCTCTATGGTACTTAAACTTTATGAATTTAAGTCCTCTACTAGACTGGCGGTATGTCCTCATCAATTGGCAGTTGCAATGATAAGTAAGTTCTATGTTGAGAGTTTCTTCTCTCGCATTTCTCGTTTAGGGAACTCTCTTCCGGCTACTTGCTTCCCTGTCATCTTTGATCTTCAAACATGTAAATGCAATGTCAATCGTTATCGTCTAAATTCTTTTTCATTCTTTTTATAACACTCAGTAACCCGTTGCGTCTTAGTGGCTTTATTGCCTTGTTTTGTGTGAATTAAATAAAAAACGAAATAAAAACATTGTGACATGCGTTGTTCTTGGGCCTTGTATTGGTTCAACTTTTATAAGCAAAAAAAATTGATGTTCTTTAGTTTTTAAGAAACCTTCCTCTCCATTCTAATGTCTTCTGATTTCTGTTTTCTTCTTCATCTGCTACAAAATTAGCCATATAGTTAAATTCTCTTTTCATTCTGAGGTTTTTATTCGTAGAGAACACTTTTGCCTATCTCATTTAACGTTACAAGTTATATAATTGAAAATTCTTCCATGAGACGAGGAGTGAAAAGCGGGCTATTTGCCGGTTCACTGCAGAGTAAAATACAACAAAATGGACGCCAGGAATAGGGACGAAAATAGAAATGTTTTCACTAATTAAACTGTGATTACAGGTAGAAAAAAACGTAAAGGAGTCATTCTTGAGGCTTAATGTTTATTATTAAGGTGCAACTGTAACAGTAAATTGTGGTAAAAGAGAGACTAATTGGCCGACGTTGGCAAGGCATATCGTACGAAAATAACATTAATTTAATCAAAAGTATCGCTCTCTTCGTAAACATAGCACTGTGGAGGATTCACTTTTATTGGAGGCGTTTTGTATAGTGTTTCTGTATTTAGAATTTTGTAAACGTCACCATTTGACAGCACAATTGAGATACTTCAAGTCCATTACTCGTCAAAGCCGTTTCCATATCTTGCAAGCAGACCACTGCATTTCGTCACTCCAACTTTTGTGTGGTCTGTTCCAGCGACATGTATTTTTCTATATATTGTACACATTCCAACCAACTTTTGCTCCATCTGTTATCTTTTCCGTTTGCTCGATTTTCCGACAATCTCCATTTCTGTGCGTTTAATCGATTCTAAGAACGTCTGCCCTCTTAACGTAGCTCCATGCATCAAACGTCTGTGGGTTCTGAAGTTCATTCCAGATATCAAGTGGAAATCTTATAAGCAATTCTTTGCTAAAGATGCTTGGAAAATTGTCAGTTCATTCGGTCATTTAAGAAGTTTAGTTCTAGGTATAACGATAAACTACGTCCGGAAGCATGGCCTCCGATTGGGAGATTGATGGTCTTAATGGACGTGGGACCACGTCTTAATTGCTGTTGTTCCCAGGTCCACCCTGATCTGGAGTAATAGCACTTTTTAGGGTCCCAACTAAGGTCAAATAGTGAACCTCCGAACTGAGGTCAAAGCACTATGAAATTATAACAATACCTTTTTATAGTAAGAATGCGCGCCCTTCGGCATGTTTTTATAAAAAGCTTTCTGGAATATATATATATATATATATATATAAAAGACATATTTTTATGTTTAACGTTGTTATTTTATAGATACAAGTATTTAAGCAAATGCTCTGTTTATGATAAACAGTATTAAATAACATTTACCGGCCTGAATGTCCGAGAAATTTTCATAGAAAATTTTCGTTCTTTGACAGGATTCGAACCTGCATCCTATACGGAACCGTCATATACGCTGACGTGCCTTACCGCTTATCGATACGCCAGAGCAGTTATGAATGTACGAGATTCATGGAAAATTGAGTTTATAAGCAGTAAATTGACCTTGTCTACCGATTGGTTCTTTTAGTAGCGGTAAGGCACGTCAAACTTTGTCGTATATGAAATGTTATTTAATACTGTTCCGTATATGTCTTTAATATGTCAGGTCATTTGTTTACATTCGAACGCCAGAGCAGTTATGAATGTACAGAGATTCATAAATTGGAGTTTATAAGGTAAATTCATTGGTTCTTTTGTAGCTTTAAGCGGTAACGAAAATTTTCTATGAAAATCCTGTCTTTTCTATGAAAATTTCTCGACATTCAGGCCGGTAAATGTTATTTAATACTGTTTATCATAAACAGAGCATTTGCTTAAATACTTGTATCTATAAAATAACAACGTTAAACATAAAATATGTCTTTAATAAATAAATTGTCGGACCTTGTCCATTTCTTAATATATATATTTGTTTATATAATGTACGAGATTCATGGAAAATTGAGTTTATAAGCAGTAAATTGACGATGTCTACCGATTGGTTCTTTGTAGCTTAAGCGTGAAATATGACCCGTAGGTAGGTTTGCCTGGGCCGGTCTTTAGGTTCATAACAACGTTAAACATTTGTCTTTAATAAATAAATTGTAGGACCTTGTCCATTTCTTAGTGTATTGAGGTTTGCCTGGCTCTTTTAGGTTCATAGATTTGCACTTGTTTTGAGTTGTTTATTTTTTATTTTTACTCGTGTCGGAGTTTTTTTTCTTTGAATTCTGGTCGATTGTTTTCGCCTGAATTACATGTTCTTAGTTCTTTCTTTTTTATTCCTTATTTTTCCTTGGGTATTGGTTTGTTCATTTACAACCCAATACAACTAAGATTATTCTGGACAAGTATACTTTCTTATATTTATAAGATTATTATATATATATATATATATATATATATATATAAGGGTGTTCCAATAACTTGGACCGATTTTAAATGTTAATTAAATTTAATCGTTTAATGATTATTTTTTCTTTTTCTTTCAGATTTAACAGCTTAAATCTTTGGCAATTTCAACCATGGAAAGATTAACACTCAAACAATGTGTTAAAGTTATCGATGCCTATTACCAAAATGGACGTTTAAACAGAAATGTGTGATTTTTTGGTCAACATAATCGAGAGTGCAATTGGAAACGATGTAGCGTTGTTGTGGAAAGGTTTAATTCTTGTGCGCGATGACGACTAGAGGTGTCTGGATTTTGGACCAAATTCTCGTGCACTGCAGCAATGTCTTCAGCTCAACGGCGTAAATGAGCACGCAATGGTGTTTTCACACTGCCACCGACCCAGTTTAAATTTACGATCAATTTTATCCAATTGAACTCTTGAAACCTTAACGTTTGTTAATCTTTCCATGGTTGAAATTGCCAAAGACTTAAGTTATTAAATCTAAAAGAAAGAGTAAACGAACATTAGACATTTAAACTTAATTCACATTTAAAATGGGTCAAAATTATTGGAACACTATCTCTCTCTCTCTGTATATATATATATATATATATATATATATATATATATATATATATAAGAAAAACAGACCACTTTAAGGTATCATTATAATAATTTATTTCACCAAAGCCCTTTTGAAGGACGCCGAATCATCAGATAGCACTTCCAAAAATGAAATGAAACGAAAAATGAAATTAAAATTGATGGATAGTGTAAGTTTTTTGTAATTTAACAGAGAGTGTAAAAGAAGTAGTTAAAGAGACATGGTAGAGTTTAGGGAGGGATTAATTTCATATCTCTCTCAAGTATACTTTATATTGAGGGAGGAGGAGTGACCAGACCTTGACCTATTAAGACGGTTAACTTAACAGAAGTGATATATTGAAATGGGAGAGGAGAAGGGTGAAAAGAAAAGGAAAAAGAAAGAAGAGGGAAGTAAAGAGAAAGAGGCTGTAATTGGGTTTTAGCAATTTATTCAAAGAATAGATTTTAGATTTAGTAATTTAGACGTCTAAAAAAAACGAATAAATTAATTTGATGTTTGCTATCAATTTAAATATTTAATTTTTTTTTAAGACAAATAGTTTAGGGATTTAATATAAGTTAAATACTATATTTATTAACACATTTATAGAGAACATATTAAAAATAATATTTTAAATTATAATAGTTTGTTTACCCGACCAATCGTACTTTTTTTAATATTCTAAAAAATAGTTACGGTAAAAAATAACATCTTTAAATCTAATTTATGAATGCAATTTGTAATTATTTTATATGGGTAATCTTTCTTACTTAAAGTTTAGGTTTAATTAAAATAGAGTAATATCGTATATATATATATATATATATATATATATATAATTTTATTACAAGATATTATAACAAAAACACGTTGAAATCACTACGCAATAGCTTTTGTGTTTCGGCACTATGTTGTACCTCTTCAGGCGAATAGTAAGTGACTGGTGATTAAATACTTTTTAACAAAATTTCAAAAGCAAAGTGTTACCTCTTTTCCGAAAGATGAAAGTGGTGGTAAGAAAATGCAAGATAAGAATTAAATTTTTTCTAAAAATAGAAAATTAATCTAAGACGGTGGATGTGGAAGAGTTCTTTTTTCATGACCTTAGACACCGGAACTTCAACAGGTAATCATTTACAAATACGGAAAACATGTAAGCAACAATTTTATCGTGAGTATAGGCAGATATGACGTGTTCAATATTTCAAAGGATGTTGAGGAGAGGGGAAGGAGGATAATCAGACGTAAAGTTAATTTTAACAAATTTTTTTTTTTTTCAGCAATACTAAATCTGAATAAACAAGATAATTGCTCGTGGAGGCTGGACCGTTATTTGCTTATTTAATTATGGCTATAAGATATGTACTTCTGCCTAATTATTTTAAAAATTAACTATATTGTGACGGACATTTACCGTTAATTCACTTCTTTTGTGTAGCAGAGATTTTTTCCCAGCAAATCGGATAATTTCGAATTTTTTCATGTAACAACAATAAGCAAGGTTCATTTAAACATTTACAGGTTCTAGCAGTTTTTTTTAGTATTTTCCATTTTAACGTAGAAGTTTTGTTAACTTCTTTTAAGTTCCAAAATTTTTAGAAAGAAATGTCATATTCCTATAAGCGTTATAGCTGAAAGATAATATATGTTAACACCACTTAGTTTTAAAAGAATTCTTGGTACTGCCAATATAATTTTTTTTAACCGTTGGACTTTCTATTCGAGAAATACTACTTAGATAAACAAGGGACTCAGTTTGACATAGGTTTTGCAATCGCATTCGTTGGGATTTCTACAATTGCACTTATTGCTGTTATCATTGTTTGTTGCTTTGGAATAGCATTTATTACTCAGATTTTCTATTGGTTTAAAATTTCATTATTATGATTTTTAATAATTTTTTCACGATTATATATATATGTATATATATAAAGAAATATAGTTTTAAGTTGTGCTATATTTATGTAATAAAGTGCTCAATATCAGAGATAGAGCGTATGTAAATATAAAAGTGAACATAGACGTCAACACTTAGAGGCGACAGACTGTTTCATGCTAGGGCAATAATCAGGCCTCTAGCATGAAAACAGCATGTCACTTCTGAGTTTTGACTTCAATGTTCACTTTTATATATACATATATATAAATAAATGTGCGTGTGTGTGTGTGTGTGTGTGTGTAAAAGAAAAAAGAGTAAAATTTCAGTGTTCAAACATTAATTTAAAAGAGGGATGAATACAAAAGTATTACAATAAATATTTATTTGTTATGCACCGTTACGTTAGAACATGTACATACCCACTACAAAACTTTACGTCTTGTTTCAACGTTAAAAATTTAACTTTTCTTCAGGTGGGAAAGCATGATGGTAATAAAATATTTTATTCCGAAACCATAATCCGAAAATTTTGTTCCGAAGATTTCGGAACAAAAAAAAAATAATACCATCATGGTTTCCCACCTGAAGAAAAGTTAGTTTGTGTGCAGAGATAGATAGATAGATAGATAGATAGATAGATAGATAGATAGATTTAGTGAGTTAGTTAAAGAAATGAGAGGAAAAGAGTGAGTCCGAGGTTAGGTTAGTGACTTATTTACTGAAAAAAAAGTTTGAACGAAGTAACTATAAACATTTTTTCTATCGTCTGCCAGCCGCAATGATGGAAAAAGCATTACCTCGAACCATCGCCAGTGAGACACACTGCAAGAGCCACTCCGTTTCGCAAGGCTTGTCCTTTAATCGAGACGCAATCGCGCCAATCCTCCGAAGGAACGCCATCGAACGAGGGCCAATAACCCCTGAAGTCTCCACTGCCACAGGAGTAAAAAAAAATCTATCAGCAAGAAAAGAATATTTAATTATTTTTTTTTTATCTCTGCGTCCTGGGTGACGGATCGCGGCTCAACCGCGGACCTCATCAAATTACCGACCGAAAATGTATTAGTGATTGATTTAATGTTCATTTTAAGATCGACTGTTTGCTTCATAGAAATGTCATGTCAAAGACTACATAATGCATAATAGACTAAAAAATAGCTTTAAAAATCTCCACGTTTATAGAGGTCGACATTTTATTTCGTTCCAGCTTAAGTCTGTCAGTGCATTCATAAGGAAAAAACATTTCTAAAATAAAAGCAACAATAAAAAAAAGTGTCACATTGAAATCAGTTCAAAATGATATCAGGAAATGCATCCTTTTCACTCAAATTAAACAAAGAATGTTTCTTGGAGCAACGTTTGAAAGTAAGCATAAAGACAGTTCTACGACACATCGATGGATATACAGTAGTTTTTAAAAAAAACTATATCCATATTTTTCAACTGGTTTCTCTTTCTCATTGATCAGGCAAGCAAATGTTTTGGTCTTTACTGTAGCCAATCTTATAGCTGACACTACTTCACCACTTTTTTTATAATGATGTTCACCTTGTACAAGGCCCGAGAGAAAGCTAACCTGCACTTGAATAGATTAAGATAGCAGGGATCGAGGAATATCTTCTTGGGAGTTGGCTCCACAAAACAGCGGCCCATGGGAAGAAAGTGAAAACTTACATCCTACCAATGGAATACGAAGCGAGTGAGGGTTGTTCGCTTCAATGTCCGTAGCATGGCGGGTCTGTTGGAACTAAAGGATTTAGCTCGCCTGAGCAATTTCTATGGAAATATCGCTAGATCTGGGAGAGTCTTGGGACGTTTAGTCGGTGAGAAAGTGCTTGTAGGGTGAAAGTAATTTGTCACCAAGAAGGACGCGGATAGGCACTTGGACTCTATCGAGAGTGGAAAGTGTAGAGCGGGCAGCTCTTACCCTTTTCCAACAAAATCTATCTCAGAATTATGACGGTCCCAAACCGTGTTGTTTTCTGTAATATCTATGGTCCGATAGGGGCAGATGAGTCTTCGTGCTAGTGTGGTTGTAGTATATCCTATGAAAGACGTTTTCTGTATTTTATTTACAGAAAAACATTCGCTGATTGGTCAAGGATATTCATACACGACACTGGTAAATGTATAGGGGATGAAAGTCTGAGATATATTATTTTTATTAACTAAGTTGATCGTTAAATCTTTTTTATAGTAAATATTATATGTAGAGGGATAAAGATATGTGTGTGCGTAGATATACAGTGTAACCCGGATATAAGAGACCCGGATATAAGAGAAACCCGGATATAAGAGAGATTTTCTCTGGTCCCAAATTAGAGCCTGTGTTAATGTATATAAAATGGACCAAACCCGGATATAAGAGAAACCCGGATATAAGAGACTTCTTTTCCGGTCCCGACAACTCTCTTATATCCGGGTTACACTGTATTAATTCATACATATATTCACGCATAAAAACGAATCGACAGGCATTTAGTTGCATTCATTGGCACATAGTCAATTCTACATTCACGTATGAAAATCGATAATTTGGTTTGCATTTCATGATAAAGACCACCTTATTCAACACACGTCTCCTTACTCTTTCTACCTTTCCCTTCTTTTATTTGACTTCACCTTCTCCTGCTCATTTTGTTTCCTTTCTCATCTTTCCCTACATCCTTATTTTCCCAATATCCTCCTCTTCTCTCTCTTTCTTTTTACTTCTTCATTTTATTCTTCCCAAATTTGTATATATTTTAATTTTTCTTCCCGTCCTCCTCCTTTTCAATTCTTCTTCTTCTTCTTCTTCTTCTTCTTCTTCTTCTTCCTCCTCCTCCTCCTCCTTCTTCTTCTTCTTCTTCTTCTTCTTCTTCTTCTTTACTTCCTCTCTCTCTCTGTTTATTGCCCAACCCCATTTTTATCAAACCTACTTAGACTCCCCATCTGCATTTTTCCTCATCTTTTTCATTTTATACGCTGTTAGTATCTCTTTTTCTTTCTTTTTCTCTCACGCTTTTCCCCTTCTTTTTATTCTTACTGTTCTTCTCATATTCATTCCCCCAAAACTTTGTTTTCTTTACCACCACCTTTTCCTTCTCATCTTATTCTCCCCCTCCATCACAAAATCCTCCTCTTCCTTTTTGTTGCCAATTTGCTCCTCCCCTTCCTTTTTCTACTTTTTCTATTACTCTCTTTCTTTCTTTCTTTCTTTCTTTCTTTCTTTCTTTCTTCTTCTTCTCTAATTTTTCTTTACATACACCTCTACCACCCCCTTCAAATTTTCTCCTCCTCCTCTTTCTTCTCGTTTTCCTCTGCTCTCTTCCTTTTTTGCGTCTCCTCCTGCCGTCTGCTGTTCTTGTTCTCCTCTTCGATTCTTCTTCTTCTTCTTCTTCTTCTTCTTGATTATCACCTGATCGTTGTGACTTTAGGATTTTCTTTTCTTTTACTTGGCAGATGTTGTTTAGTAATATCGCTCCACCAATATGACCATTCAACCACGAACACAGAGAGGAAAACAACATTCCAAGATCAAAAAATCCCACGCGGTAATTCGACTCTCCTCTCAAAGACTCGAGGCAAAAGTTTTCCATCCACCGGAAGTAGATATCAGCCTCGATGGCGCCCACCATCATCTTGGGTTTTGTTGTTGTTGTTGTTGATTTTTTTTTGTTTTTAAATCAATTGCTGTTTCCTTGTCTATTTGTGCCTTTCTTACTTCGTCACTTGATTTTGTTATAAAAACTTCTCCCTTTTTCGTTTATTTTTCCTTCATTTTTCTTTTTTCTTTCGCTTTTTTTCAAACACTTTTCCTTAATTTCCTTCACTTCCTCTTGTTGTAACTGTTGTACTTGTAGTTATTGCTCTTTTTGTTGTCGTTCTAATTCTTCTTCTTCTTCTTGATTTTCTTTCTTTTCTTTCTTCTTCTTCTTCTTCTTCTTCTTCTGGTGCTTGTTCTTCTTTTTCTTATTCTTCGTATTTTTTCTTTTTATACTTTTCTTCCTTGTTCGTGTCCTTGTTTTTTTTTTTCGTCTTTTCTTCTTGTCCCTCTTTACCTTCTTCTACTCCTTGTTCTTCATTTTCTGTTTTAATTCTTTTTTCTTTTCCTTTTTTCTTCTTTTTTGTTCATGTTTTGTCTTCTTTTTCTTCTTCTCTTTCTACTCTTTTTTTTCTTCTTCTTCTTCGTCTTGTTCGTGTTGTTCTTTTTCTTCTTCTTTTTCTTGTTCTTTGTGTCTTTCTTTCTTGCCATTGTTCTTGGTTTTCTTCTTCGTCTTCTTCTTGCTTTTCTTCTACTGCTTGTCCTTCATCTTTTTTACTTCTTTATCTTCTTTTTTCTTTTGCTTTTTCTTCTTTTTCTTCTTCTTCTTTTTCTTCTTCTTCTACTCCTTTATTCTTCTTTTTGTTCTTTTTCTTCTTTTTCTTGTTCATTGTTCTTGTTTTTCTTCTTGTTTTTCTCTTTTTCTTCTACTTTTTCTTCATACTCTTTTTCTTCTTCTTCTCCTTGTTTCTCTTCTTCCATTTCTTGTTCCTCTTCTTCTTCTTCTTTGGATTTCTTCTTCTTCTGTTTCTTTTTGTTGTTCTTCTATAACCTTCATTTCACATCTTTGTCGTCCCACCAACCCATCCACCTCTTCTTTTCAGTCTTTAATATTCCATATTTCGAATCAGTCCTAGGTACGACGATAAAATACATCCAACAGCAAGTTCTCTGATCGGGAGATTGCAAGTTTTGAGGGACACCGTCTGTGAGAAAAAGATCACCCTGACGCAATTTACTCCGCCATAAATTTCGAAGCAGCATGCTGTACTGCTTGGCATTCCCACCGGAAGCTTCAATACGAATATTTCAGAACTTTTGGGTGTCAATCTAAGAACGCTGAAGAGGATTCAGAAAGAGCTGGATGAGTCTGATGGTAATACGATGCCACCGTTATAATAAGAAAAGAACTTTCGGATTTGTTGGTGATGGCCTCTGGCTCAACACGCATCAAGTGCCTTAGGAGGTAGTGCTGCCCTGGGTCAACAGGGTGGCTACTGGAAAACATTATGTCTAGCAAGAACACTCTGTACTATGCGACACAAGCAAGAAAACCTAGTCAACCCTAACTTGTCAGATATTCTTTCGACCGTACCATCCCTTATATCTGGTCACCTAACTTCTTAGACCGCCACCCCTTTGATAATTATGCTTTGGAGCGGTGTTGGGTGAGAGACGAACAAAACTTGTAACACCAAAGATTAACTTGAAGTCAAGGATTATGGCAGCATTCACCAGCTAAAACAAGGAGACCGTCCAGAATAGATGCTGGAGATTCAGAAGTCTCCTGGAGGCTGTGGTTGAATCCAATGGCTATTTTATAGAATAAGTTTACTCTTTATTATTTCAAGATATTTTGGTGTAATTTTTGTAAATATATCTGTTAAAATGAGATGTCAGTGTTATTTTCGTTTTTGTGTAATTCGGGCGACAATTTATCCATCGCACTCTGTACTTACATAAGTATTCTTTTTTTTCTTTCTCTCTCTCTTTTTTTTTTTTTTTTTTTAAGCGTTTCACCCCAAGCAAGACGGAAAGCCACTAGCACGCAAGGGGTTACAGAGAGTTGGAGCTAGAGCAACTAGGAGTGATAGAGGAAAGGATGAAGAGAAGGATCGGGGATAGATCAAGGCATCTGGAGACGTCGATTGACATTACATATGAATAGTTGGAGATTATAGCTATCAGGGAAACAGGAAGAGGACAGGGAGTTCCACAGGCAAGATGTGCGAGATATGAAGCTATTGGAGTAGAAGAGATGGCTACATTTAACAGTTTCGATAGTGAAAGGATGTGAGCGAGATGCCAGCCTAGTTGAACGCTTAAATTCATGAAGTTTGGGAATCAGCGAAAGCAGCTCATCTGAGCAGTTACCGTGAAAGTATTTGTAAAAAAGACAGAGTGAGGCAAACGGCATGTCTTTGAGAGATCGACTGCAGACGAGATGCCAGATCAGGGCCAGTTACGTTGCATATCGGTGTCTGGATCATATCAAGAACCTTGAGACAAACATAAGGGGCTCCAGACCATATATGGCAGCAATACTCCATGCAAGGGCGAATGGTCGATTTATAGATTTAAAATTCTCTTGTTTCGGAAATGGTTAACATTGCTATTGTTTTCTACTGCTTTCTGAAAGTCCGATTCCCTTACCTTTTTTGATGACAAGATATGTCCTTCTTGATCTGCTCTACAAATCTGAATTTCCTTGTTATTATTATTATTTTTTGTTCTATTGTTTTAACTGATTTGCCTCTTTTGTAAGTCGCCGGCCATATTTTTCTAGATCGAAATCTATGGCGATATTGTAACGCAACTTATTTCATTGTTGTTAATACCAGCTATCCATCATTTTTCGAAAACAGTTTGAAGTCGTCCATATGGAAAAAATGATTAATGAATCTGTTAGATAACTGGTCACCGGCCATTTATACCCAAATTATTTAGAAAACGCGTGGAAATTTTCATTGGAAATCGATTTTGCAACGCCGTCTCAGTGACATATTCAGTAAAATTTCTCTCACCTATTAAACTTTCTGCATCCAGAGCTTACACTGAAAACAACAGTTCTCGTTATATCCCTGAAGTCACATCGAGCCCGGTTAATACATAGATAGGTAAACATTTGCAAGCGCAGGATAGTGTAAGAAAATTCCTACAGTTGGAAATATGTTTAGGTTTTAAATAACTCAAAGAAGTTTCCAAATCTCTTATTCATCTCTTTTCGAAAACAATTTTATGGCGTCGATGTAGAATAATTGACTAATGAATAAAATCATATAAAATTATCAATGTGTATTTATTTATATATTTTCTGTCCTATTTAGTAATGGGAAGGGGAGATAAATCAACCTAGGTTACTAAATTTATGACTGATTAGATCCCTTAGTCGTTTTAATAATTTTTGTGATGTCACTGAACACTCGTTGCCACTTTTGTAATGCCAATGAATACTCGTTGTCACTTTGGTAATGCTCATTGTAGTAGAGACTTTGTAATCACAGATTGCAACTATAGTAACGCCGTTGAACAATACTGGTGTCAGATGCCTTCGAATAGGACTCGCACTAATAGTACTTGCTCGGTGATACTCGCTTGAATAGTAACCACCGTATAGTAATCCGAATAGAGAAATAGTATAGTGAATAGAGTAGAGAATAGCGCTCCGTATATTAATAGAGGATAGACTAGAAATAGCTATCATTTAGACGTCGCACGACTTCCTACTTACGCGTTTCTTTTACGGTCACGTGGTCTACTTAATTCAATAATGGGATCGCATGTGTTTGCTCACTGGCGATGTATGTTCAAACTCAGGTGTCGGCAGCGACATTTTATTCCTATATAACAATCTCTACCAGGAGTCGTCACGTCAAGCAATTTCCAGTGGCACGCAAATGACATCACAAAGTCCGGTCTAATAAATACTATAACACAACGACGATATTTAGCTGTTTCAATTTTAATATATACTAAAGTATATATATACTATGTATTACTATATAAAATATATTGTAGAACAGGTATATTGACCTTGGCTTGTATAAAAAATGTGTATGTTGTTGGAACATTGAATGATTTTGAAATCCTAAGTCGGCACATATTTAGCAAAAGGTTGCTGACCCCGGATCTGTACAAATAAAAACATTTATCTGCATTTAAAAAAAATCCTGAGCAAAGTGAACCGTTTAATTAATCTGTTCCCTTTACTCTTACGTTTCTTAGATTGCACACACACACACACACACATATATATATATATATATATATATATATATATATATATATATATATATATATATATATATATATATATATATATATATATATATATATATATATATATATATATATATATATATATATATATATGTATATATATACGTATATATATATGTATATATATGTGAAAATATATAGAAAATAGGAAGGAACTGGTTAGGTAAATAATCCAAAGTCCCTTAGTATTTTAGTTACGAAAGTTTTTCTTTTTTTATATGCACAATTCCCTTTCATAATAAAAAAAAATAAAATAAAATAAAATAAATAAATAAATCTCCATAGACAAGCAAACTAGACGATGGCCAATACATCTTCCGTTTCATTTTTGACACCCCCACCTTTCCCCGACTTGACACCTTGAAAGTATCTCTATACCGCTACTTATTATAAACACCCTACACTCGCCTACCCAATTTAGACAATTCACCATAGCTGTTACCATGGGGATTTTGATTTCAATTTTAAAACAAGTAAATTTCAGATATACGTTATTCAACAAAATTTCGCTTGAAGATGGAACGGAGCCCATTTTACTTTCAACTCAATTTAATTTAAAGGATTATATTGAAGTTTTCGGCTCTTGTTATGAAACATGAGACCTCTTATATAGCGATTTGGAATCATATTTTTTAAATAAATAATTATATATATATATATATATATATATATATATATATATATATATATATATATATATATATATATATATATATATATATATATATATATATATATATATATATATATTTTCTAATATATAATTTTCCATGAGATTCTCCATAT